ACGGTTCTATACGGATTCCTCTCGTTTCTGTATCCTGTGTCGTTTAATTTAATATAATTTAAATTATAAAATCGCACGGGCTACCGTGCGCAGTTTTGAGTTCAGGGTCAAAAGTCAATCTTTCGCGCCTCTCTCTTATTTTTCTCTTTACAAGAAGGTGAAACACCCGAAAGAAGCTTTGGTGACAGCATTTCGAAAACAGTCATCCAGCAACCACCCGCTGCCATGCCCGGCGATGTTACTTTCTTCGATGGCTGTCTAAAAATCAACAGAAATTGGAATCTGACTTTCTACCATGCGCTAGTACCAATTTATCAGTGAAACAAATTATCATGTTCTTGAGAAATTGTTTTTGCAATCGCGATAAAATTATGATCTTGAACTTACGAGTAAACGTCACTGGGTCATTAAGTGAAACGTTGCTATCAGTAATTTGGAATTTTTTGCAGATTATTTGATTAACTGAAAGGATAAAAATGCCGTTCAAACCAGTGGAGCATCCGAAATGTCCGAAATGCGGTAAATCAGTGTACGCCGCCGAGGAAATGAATGCGGGCGGCTACAAATGGCACAAATTTTGCTTCAAATGTGGTTTGAATTTTGTGGTTTGAGCTTGTGGTCCTCTGGTCCTCTGCTTGCCATATTCCTGCAGCTCTAGCACGAATGGTTAACTCACCCGCCCAGACTGAGTGGTGAAAGTCCCTCAACTTCAAATCGGAATTTCTAAACTGGGCTTTTCCATCTCTGGATTCATTTCGAGGATCTTTGGATTGACTGTTTCTTGGAAAAATGATCAGTCAGTTGGATAGTACCAGCATGGTATCATATCATCAAAAATGTTTGCGTACGACCAATTCAATGTTTTTTGCAAGTAGTAGACGACAGAAAAAATGACGTTTAAGAAACCGTTTGAAAAAAACGAGTATTACGAAGAGGCATGCTTTTTATTGCACAGTTCTGTTAAACAAGGCGTTGTTTGTTAAACTAGGGTGCTTTTACTAGTATGGCATTGGAAGATTCGCATTTGCATCGTGGTCTGCTGCAATATGAGGTTTATGCAGCTTAATATCGCATGTGTTTGCATATGAGACATGCGAGGACATGAGAACCCATAATTTACGCTTTTGGACCTGCGTATAGTCGGGGCTGTAATTACTAGATGTGCTTTACTGTCTAGTTGAAGAGTTTTAAAAAAGAAGATAGACATACTAACACACAGATTCTCTTCTGTTTGCATTTTTTCATTTGCATAAATGTGAAAAGTATAACCCCAGGCTAAAGTGTACTATACTACCACTGTGTGATTATGCATTTTTGCACAGAACTTACAGTAGTTAGTTCGTTAATAGCAGGTGTGGTTCCTGCGTTGTAATTTAACATGTTTTGACCTCTCCTTGCATACGGGAGTAAAAGAGCATCGGCTGGGGTGGTAGTATTGCATCGCGGAACCGCATAAACTTCCGGCGTGCACGGTTTTTAATTTTGCACTTAGTCCGGTCGTTTTTCCGGTGAGCGGTGCTTCATCGAAAATTGCGAATTTTGCAAAGCATGGGATGTCGAAAGTGAAGAATTACGAAATCCGCAAGATGTATTCACTCTTGAGTTTGTTATAAAGTTTAAATATCTGCCGTGTAGTCGTTCAAGAAATTTTGCCTTCAACCCGAATTAAGATCACACATAAACATGGAACATCCCAACAAAGTTTCAGTTTTGCAGCTTGTCCAATAAGCGAAATCTCTTCGCTGCAAATATCTTTGATGCGTCTGAAAGGTGGCCTTAGCGCAACTCGAAACTTTTGTTGTTCTTGATGGATATCGTATTTCACCTCCTTGAGCTTTATTAGCTATTGTGAAGGCAAAAACTTTAATTTCAAAGCAAACGAACACTCGAGGGACCTCAAGAGTGGTGGCGCAAATTAAATAGGTAAGAAGTACTAACTGGAGATATGCAGTCCAGGATCGGAGGGCCTGGCATAGTTGCACTAGGTGTGTGTGCGTGTGGAGCAAAAACTAACGTAGGATATTCACAATGATAGCCTTAATGTTGGTGGTCTTAATGTTCTTGGAAAACTTTTAATTTGTTTTTTAAACTTTCAGAAAAACAGGAAATCACTTGCACCATCTCTAACACTTGTTTGTCCGTTGTCTAAGTTTTCAGTCGATGTATTGCAGCACTGTGTAATAAATTGCTTGACTCAATGAATTGCTGTGAGCATCTGGCTGAGCTGTACTGTAAGCAGTGTCATGGTCGCAAGTACGGCCCAAAGGGTATTGGTTTCGGGCAAGGTGCTGGTGCACTGACCATGGATACTGGGGAACATTTCGGTAACACTGAAGTGGAAATGACGTTAGTGTGATGTTATCCATTATATACATTATTTTTCTACATATATATGATGTGGTACGTCTGTGGTAAGCGTAAATGGATGTTTTTGCCGGGTTTTGTTTGGAGTCGAATTACCTAGACAAATGTAACTTCGTCCTGAGATACAAGATCAGACTCCTTCAGGCATTTGGATAACACTCGTCGTCTTGTGTCGTTCGTCAAAGAAATCTAACAACGTATTTTACTCAACATTACTGCGTTCTGTAATTAGGATTGTATGTTACTTAACTTGAAGAACTGTTTGCACGGTTAAGAAGATACGTCAAACACCGTTTTGAAGAGAAACTTTTCCATCTGAGAGGAAGAGCTGCGTAAGCACTGATTATCAATACGATGAGAAAATGTATCAGTATTACAAAAGACATAGCCGAGAAATCCTAGTTTTGTTCACGAGTGGTTGCGTTTGGCAAAGTGCTGCCATTCGGTTTACTTTTGACCGTCTTTTCCCATTGTAGGAAATGAACGGTAGAAATCAGGACCTGCTGATTTGTGTTGATTAGGGTACAGTTTGATTTGAACTCTAATATACTTATTAGCTTGCAATAATATATACATTATGAAAAAATTAGATCAGTAAGAATATTTCGGCTCACTAAGTTTTATGGACATTCATTCAGTGCCACAACTGAATTTCGTCAGTACAATTACTTTCCCTAAGATTATATTTCTGGTTCGATATTATTTACTCATTATGCTCGACTTTTGACCTTTAATTGCGTCAAAAATCGAAAATCCCTTTCGCATTCCGTTTCTGTGTGAGTGGAAGCAGTCGGAGGTAATCTGAGAATAGCAACTGCGACAGTAACGGTCCGCTGGCAGAGAAGGCTGTCGGCTGTCTTCTCTTTCGAGGGTTGCTTACTGATGAAGATTTTAATCATATAGTAGTCAAAACAAAATAAATTGTAAGCAATGCTTTGATGTATTGTTGTTGCTAAAAAGTGTTGGCTGCTTGCCACCTGATCGACCTGCAATAATAACCACATGAGAATGGTATGCATATCTTTGCGCGATGATGAACGAACTGAATCCAAAATGATTGTAGGCGAAAATACTTGTGCATCGAAGCTCCAAATGTACTTTTATAACCAATCTATTAACCCTGTCCTGTGTTTCACGAAAGTACCTAACTAACTGCATGCGTATGACTAACACAATCTGAGGAACTAATTTTTTCAAGGAAGCCAAGAGTTAAAATGAGTGTCTCGGAATTCCCGCGAAAAACTGGCATATGTTGAAGAAATGATTAACATAAAATATGCTCAGTGAGCATGGAGACTAGTGATGCAATGATTAGCACGATGTATTCAGATGTGAAGACGATGGATTCGTTTCCTTTCCGGTCCATATTCATTTTCAGAAGGGGAAACTAATTAGAACGAAGTATGCTCTGACATTCACGCATCAAACTTTATATCAAGCTTTTATGGGCACGGCCAGGGTTTTTTCAATAAAAACACTTCTCCTCTGCTTTGGCGATTCTTTTCCCTCTATTTTCCCTCCTACTAAGCTAGACGTGCATTGATACAAATTGCATGTTACCCCTTTTCAGCTCTGTCTCCTGTAATTTTCTCGTTTTTTCTGTAATTTACAGAACTGTGTAATAAACTGTTGGATTCAACGACAGTTGCTCCACATGAAGCGGAATTGTATTGCAAGCAGTGCCATGGACGGAAATTCGGTCCCAAAGGTGTTGGATTCGGTTTGGGTGCTGGCGCTCTGACGATGGACGATGGCTCAAAATTC